GTGGACCCACGCAAGAGAGAGGAGACAGAACAGCTGAAAAAGAGGAGCCATTCAGAGGCCAGTGAGTCATCACAAGGGACCAACATTTAAAAGGACTGAAATCATACATGACACAGCCCGTCCCATGGGAAGTGTTTGGAGCACAGGTGGTGGGGGAGACAGGTCCACCAGGAGAACAATAGGACACAGCAAGGACAGCCAATCCACCCCCCAACCAGCACAGGGCCACTGAGAGGAGACTGGTTGAGAATGCAGTATTGCACGGGGTGCAGTTTGATGAAAAAGCTAAGGCCCAGATTAGAGTTTCTACATAACCCAGGCTTACCAGGTCTCTTGAAGTACCTATAAGGTCAACCATTAAACCCTGAGCTGCACAAAAAGCCTTCCCTAGGGAAACAGCAGCAAAGCAGCAATTTAGCTCAATCACACAGCTCAAGTACTGGTTCCCATAGGAAGTTCCCCCATTTTAGAAGTAAGCAAAGGACAAAAAATTAGATCTGGCCCAGGCACACCACCAGCGCCTCAGGACCTGACAGGGGACCTGAGGCTTGGAGCTGGGGGACTGGACCCCTGCCCACACCCAGGCACATTGTCAGCACCTCGGGTGCCCTCCTGGGGGCCTGGGGCAACAAGCCGGAGACCAGACCCCCTCACCCCCCCCACCAACAACCAGGCACAATGCCAGTGCCTCGGGGCCCCACCAGGGCCCCAGGGCATGGATCTGGGGATCAGACCCCCCACCCACAACCAGGCAAACCACCAGAGCCTCGTGATCTGCCTGGGAACCTAAGGCTTGAAGCCAGGGACCAGACCCCACTCCCACATCCAGGCACACGACCAGCACCTCAGGGCCCGCCCAGGGGCCTGGGGCATGGAGTTGAGGACCGGACCCTGCCCACAATCAGGCACACCACCGGCACCAAGGAGCATGTCAAAAACATCACATCCATGTGGGTGGCCTACCACAGTAACCACAGCTACCACAAAAGTGGCTAGACATCACAACCACCACACAGAGGGTCCACCAACCACTGGAGGGCATTGACACAAGGAAAGTCACCAGCAAAGACCAAAGAAAAGAAGAGGATGTCTCTCTCCACAAAGCCCATTCCAGAGTGACAGAAAAAGCATCTGCTCTATGATAATATCAGGGAACCTGAACATACCTCTCAGCATTAGACAGATCATCTAGGCAACAAATCAACTGAGTAACCATTACTCTTTCAGAGGGAGAGAAGAAATCTAGGGTTATCAGTGGTGGGGGGTGGGGAGGAAAAAGGGGAATAGGGAGAGATTGGACAAAGGGCATAAAGAATAAGTACAATTTGTAACAATATACATACTAGTAATATTGATTTGATCAACGTATGTCAACATTGAATCTTAAAAATATGTATAATCAATTATGATTCAATAAAAAAATAATAAATAACTTTGACAAAAGAAGAGCAAGCCTTGTACACTGAAAACTACAAAATATCATAGAAAGAAATTAATAAATGGAAAGGCATTCTGTATTCAGGAACTGGAAGATTTGATATGTTAAAATGGCAATATTCCCCAAATTAATCTATGGATTAAGCATAATTGCTATCAAAATCCTAGCTGGCCTCTTTGCAGAAATTGACAAACTGATCTTAAAATTCACATGGAGGGCCGAGCCCGCGGCGCACTCAGGAGAGTGCGGCGCTGGGAGCGCAGCAGCGCTCCCGCCGCGGGTTCAGATCCTATATAGGGATGACCGGTGCGCCCACAGCACTCACTGGTTGAGCGCATGCGGCCAGTCTCAAAAAGGACAAAAAAAAAAAAAAATTCACATGGATATGCAAGGGACCCAGAAAACCAAACAATTTTGAAAAAGAATAAAGTTGAAGGACTCACACTTCCTGATATCAAAACTTACCACAGAGATACAGTAATTAAGGCAGCATGATACTCACACAAGGACAGATACATAGACCAATGGAATAGAATTAAGATTACAGAAGTAAACCTTCAAATTTATTAGTTGATCTTTGACAAGGTGCCAAGACAATTCAATGGGGACAGTATAGTCTTTGCAACAAATGTGCAGTGACAACTGGATATCCATGTGCAAAAGAATGAAGTTGGACACATATTTAACCCCACATTAAGAAATAACATGGATCAAAGACCTAAATATCAGATTTAAAACTACAAAACTCTTAGAAGAAAACTTAGGTGTAAATATTCATGACCTTGGATTATGCAATGGTGTTTTAAATATGACACCAAAATCACAGGAAACAAAAGAAAAAATAAATTGGACTTCATCGAAATTTTAAAACGTTTTTACTACACAGGGCACTATTAAGAAAGTGAAAAACAACCCATAGAATAGAAGAAACTATCTGCAAATCATACTATCTGATAAGTGACTTTTATATAGAACATAAAAAGAGCTCTTACAACTCAGAATAAAAACATAAATATCCCAATTTAAAAATGAGCAAAGGGTTTAAACAGACTTTTCTCAAAAGGAGATATACAGATAGACAATAAGCTATAAAAAGATGCCCAACATCATTAGTCACTAGGGAAATGCAAATTAAACTACAAAGAGATACCACTTCATACTCACTACAATGGCTATAATCAAAGAAATGAACAATAACAACAGTTGGTGACGATATGGAGAAACTGGAAGCCTCATAAACTAACGGTGGCAATGTAAACTAAGGCAGCAACTTTGGAAAGCAATTTGGCAGATCCTCAAAATATTAAATACAGAGTTACCATTTGACCCAGCAATTCCATTCCTAGATATACACCCAAGAGAACAGAAAACACACGTACACAGAAAAACTTGTACGCTAATGTTAATTGCAGCATTATTCATAATAGTCATACGGGGTTCAACACATACTACCCCAAAATATTTTAAGGTGAAGAAATTTGAGAAAACAGCAGAAGCAGGAAAGTCACTTTCTTTTTTTTTTTTTTTTTTTTTTTTTTTTTTCCTGACCGGTAAGGGGATCACAACCCTTGG